GACCGCGCATTGTTTATCGTTCTTTGTGGCAGTGTTGCTAGGGAAAATTTCATTCTGCTTTGAATTGGAGATTTTGGTCTTAATTAGATCTCTCAAGGAGAATTAGTCGCCTCAGTGGCTTTCAGTTTAAATTCAAGAGAGGCAATAATATCGTTCAATTCATTAACTTCACAAGATCTTCCTTTGATTAGAATACACAGATCAGCTTCCAAGCGCTTGCATTTCTCCCTCTCACTAGAAAGGTCCTTTTTGAGCCGGCTTACTTCGTCTTGGTACCGTTTAGTTTCGCTTGGATTAACTTTATCGATCACATTTGAATATTCAAATGTTGTCGAATGTTGAAACCTGTCCCTCTGAATTAACACTTCGGTTATTTTCTTGTATTCATCGAACTGTAGACGAAGGTCTTCGTACCCACTATTTATCTCGTGTAGATTGCTCTCAAAATTTTTGTAGGGCCCCAGCCTTTTTTGCGTGTTAAATATTTCCGCGCAAAGGACAAGATATCTGTTTTCTTGGGCTCAGTTGGGCTGTTTTCCTGGGCTAATTTTGGCATAAAAAAATGAGATAAAGTCCCTCGAAAGCATTTGCAACGTAATCGTCCGGCAAAATTTTGTACTCCGGAAAAAATTTTTTACCCCTAAAATGGTACACTGACCGAAATTTTTTTGGCGACGGCGGGGGGTTGTTATCCGGAAAAAAGTTTTTCCGGGAAAATTGTTTTAGATAGGGGCCCCTAAAAAAAATTTGCCCCGGGCCCCCGCCAACCTCTGGGCGGCCCTGAGTAAAAATGATCCAACAGGTAATCTAATAAAACCGTGAGGCGTTTATTGGAGACATACGGCAGTTTAACGTTTCTTATCAAACAAGTGAAGAACACTTTTCAGCGGTCTCTTACAACACTTCAAGTAGAGTGAAAAAAGTCAAAATTCTTCAACTTTCATGGCTCTTGCACTCAATATTGCACTTTAATACGCTTCAACACTATTCAGGTAAAATTCAACACTATTCAGGTTGTTTAATCAAATAAGCGTTCAAATAAACGGTCCTATGAAAAGGGGGCGTTTATTATGTATGAGACATTTCTTGTAGTCTGTATAGATCCAATCTCGTACCCAGAGTATGCCCGTTCGCAGGTTAGGTGCTGGTCATGCCCAGCACCTAACCTGCGAACGGGCATACTCTGGGTACGAGATTGGTATAGATCACTTTCACTCAATTTTTCCAGGGGCGGCGCTAAATGAACGGTGGGGTGAAACTGAATCGAATGCACTAGAATACGATAGAGATGAACTAGGGGAAATGTCATCCAAGCCGACCTCTGTCGTGATAATACTAGTTTGTCGTATGCTATCTTTGGAAAAAGTCCTTCGCTCTTCGTTTTGTTCTTGTGCATCATATGCAGATTGTCCACTTTGTGTATGGCTTGGAACACCATCAACCTGTGTATATAATGATACATCTGTCATTATTGCAAACAAAAATGGTCAAACACGATAATGCGATTAAAAATTTGCCGGTCGAAATAACAGTTTTTCACCAAGTTCTTCAAATATTTGAAAGATTCTTAAATTTGAATCCGAAATGAAAATATTTTCAATAACTTCAATACGCAGACAAATAGCTTCGAAAAATGCGATTATATTAATAGATATAATTAAATCGTCGAAAAATGCGATTTCAACCGGCAATTTTGAAATCGGATTTAGCCTGCAAACAATCTATATACAGAAAGTCGTTTCGTATCAGTATAGACTGAATTTCTGTATAGACTTTTCGCAGGCTAGATTTAGAGCTGTTAATTTCAGAATGATCAAGATTCTCTGCAGGAATCATTAATTCATTATCTGTTGTACCTGGTCATTTTGTTGACTCTCATTTGCAGTGTGTGCCATTTCTGAACTGTTCTCTGACGTACTAGCACCACTATCATTCTGAGTATCGCATGGTTGCATTATATCCATGATACATCTAGTTAATCCTCCGTTTTGTAAACTTTTCGAACTTTTTGCTATAGGTACGAGTACGCACATTTCTTTAAAATCCTGGTTTGGTGGGTCGTCTAATATTCCAAGCAGTGTATTGTAAAGTCTTTCTACTTCCTCTTTACAATTTTGTTTATTTACACCTTTGGCTTGTCCCGAGTTCCTCATTTCTCTCAAAGTTTCCAAAGGCTCTTTGGCGTATTGTATGGCAAAATATTTCTGCTCATTTTCGGCTGTTAAGAGATAAACAGGGAAACGGAAATGGCCCTCTTCGTTCAAAGTGTCAAACCTTTCTATTTTTCCGTCTACCTCTTTCAGATTGTCTTTCATGTAGCAATCAGATGGTATGAGCAACACTAATACTTTCGAGGACAGTATAACGCTTTCATAGTCAGCATGATAGGGGCAAGATATTATTTCTATAAATTTTGGCAGTGCATGTCTGAGATAGTTATAATAGTAGGACCATGCAAGAGTGTAACCCGGAGTAATCTCTTCGTTCTCACGAAATGCAGAAATACGAACCTCGGATTGTGTGTTGAGATGAAGCAATTGCGTAAAAAGCGGGCCCACGCCGATCCCGCTGAAAATATACACAAGGTAGCTTATCTGAAACCACGGCCTACGCGGGAAGTAAATAAGAAGACCTACAATTATAGCTGTTAAAACCAGCAAAACGATTACTGGACCCTTTACGATCCCACTGAAGCAGGCTTTGATCATTCTTTTCCAACTTCCGCTATAGCGTTCATCCAGATGCTGGTATTCTTCGACAATAAGCGTCGAGCGGTCGACAAACGTACTAAGAACGACACCAAACAAACCCTATTCTATATTTCTATTGGCGATACAGAAAGCGATTACAAGTATAGCTATAATTGTAAATAATATCAACGATGCGCATCTCGCACGCTTTTTTCGTTCTCTTGGACTTGGAACGACTTCTTCTGTAACAGTATTATTTCTTTGACTTTGTTGAGAAACTGATCGGACAGAAACCTCTGAAACCGACATATTTTAAGGCCATTTAAATTAACGCTTCTGATTCAACTGCGTAAATGAAATTGTTTTTAAATTGCATGGCATGCGGTATACGACATATTATGTGGTTATTTGGGTCACATTCATTATTTATGTGGTTGTTTGGTTCACATTATTTATGATTTTGTTAAGAAAAGGAAACTTTCAACGTGACTTCCACTATTCATAGACATAGACATAATGGAAGAAATGTATTTAAACTAGCAGAGATAGATGAAATATATAAAAATGTGCATCGATTATAATGTTGAAAGCACCAAATTGGCAAATATGATTATATGATATCGAAAGCACTGAAACCGAATATAAAAATAACACGATATGCAGGTACTTTGAGTAATGTCTTGACAACAAAACCATAAAGGCATATAAACAGAGTGCACTTGAGCGCGGAATTATCGCGTGACTGGATAATTCTAGAAAACAAACAATAGAATTTGCAAATTTGCCATGCATATACTCATATTATGAAGGTGTTTTTGCATGTTTAGTGTTTGGACTCTCACAATTTTAAGCCTTTCCAACAGAGAAATGTATGGTTTGTAATAAGAACGCTGAAGTATAGAAATAAAAAAGTTGCAGCAGCAGCTAAATTTCGTCGTATAAATACCTGTTTACATTACGTTTTCAAATAAATACATTTTCTTTATGAAATATGTTATAAATACTTTCATTTTGTCATAAATACATTTTCAAAGCTTGTCGCAAGAGAAATAAATACACATGCAACTTGACTGATTCGCAGTGTAAACGAAGTAAATGTACTTCGTTACCGAATACTGTACTTGAGTACTATTTTTGAGAACAGGTACGAACACTACACCTTCTCCCGTTTAAAATTCCATGACTTCCCATGACCATTTTTTCAAAATCCATGAACTGGAAGTCTGGAATTTCTGAAACTCGTTAATATTTTAACGATAACATATATAATAAAAGAACAAAATTCACTTCATATAACAACAATTCATATATATACTGTATATGTGTCTTTTGTATGTCAATCCGTTGGAGAAGCCCCCCTCCCTACACTACAGACCATAGTACTTTTACTTTTTACTTCAAGTATTTTTTAAAGATACTTTTAAAGACGCCGTTCTCATTGAGAAAACAACTAGCAGAATTATTGATTTTATCCAAACTGGATTATTGCAATTGCCTATACGGATCCTTGCCTGATTATTTGCTCAAACGACTGCAAAAAGTCCAGAATGCTGCGGCAAGTTTTGTGATTGGTAAATTTGCGAAAGTGAATGATGTACTAACATTGGGATGGCTACCAATCAAAGAAAGGATTGAGTTCAGTATTGGGAACTGGCGTATCAGGTCCTAAGAGATGACAAATGGCCAAGTTTATATCTATCGCTCCAAGTCAAAAGAGTTTCAAGAGTTCTGCGTAGTAACTGTGACGGTGGTTTGAAAATTGAATATTCTAACATTGAAGACAGTTTTCAATCCAATGCTGCTAGAGTTTTTAATAGTCTTCCAGAACATTTGAAACTAATGGATTTTAAAAATTATAAGATTACTCTTAAAAGTATTTTATTAGATCAAGGTAGAGAAAGGATTGATAAGGATTGACTAATTTTCTCACATAACCTGATTTTAACTATTCAAATTTATTTATATTGTAGTTGTAGTTGTACAAGACAGTTGTAAAAATTTAGAAATAGTTTGTTAGTTTTTTTAAATGTATGGATGAAGAGCCATGTAATATGGATATGCCAGATTAAATCATTATTATTATTACTACATATGTACCTTACTTTCACATGAGACCACTGCAACAGGATCACCTTTGTCCCCCAAGGTCTTATTGACCTCACATCTAAGTAAGTAAGTAAGTAAGTAAGTAAGTAAGTAAGTAAGTAAGTAAGTAAGTAAGTAAGTAAGTAAGTAAGTAAGTAAGTAAGTAAGTAAGTAAGTAAGTAAGTAAGTAAGTAAGTAAGTAAGTAAGTAAGTAAGTAAGTAAGTATAAGTAAGTA